CACAGCCTTGTTAACCTTATTGCTTTGATACTTTGTTCATAGTCTTTTCACAGCCTTGTTAACCTTATTGCTTTGATACTATGTTCATAGTTTTTTCACAGCCTTGTTTACCGTTTTTGTCACAGCCATGTTTTGTCACAGTTTTGTTTTGAACCCACGTCTGATCATCCACTCCATTGAGTGCGTTTTTTTTCAAACAAAACCCTTCAAACTTCATATCTCTGCGACTGAGTCCTCCCTCTAAGACCCACCGTCCTGACACTATAGATGTAATGAAAGGCTTACCTTGTCCATTGGAGTAGTAAATCCACTTCTCTCGGACTTGAGTTGGAGGAGCGGGTGGTTTCTTCTGGATGGCCTTCTCCACGATGCTGCTGGGGTCCTGCACCGGGCCCTTCTTCAGGACCCGCGAGCTCCTCTTCACACTGCACACCACGATGACCACCAGCACCAGCAGGAGCAGCAGGACGATCATCCAGGGCAGGTGCTCGTTGATGTCGAAGCGGTCGTGGGTGCTTAGCCTGGGGGAACCTCGGCGAGTCGGCCGGTAGAAGCAGGAGACGCCCGCCGCGCTCCCCTGGCCGGCTACCTTGGTGATACCCGTTCCCACCCTGACCACCTCTGCAGCCTCCAGGTCTGCAGCTTGGTTGCCGACCCCTGGAACGGTCTCGGAATCAGGCTGCTCCAGATGTTGCTCTTGATCCGCGGGTTGCCCGGGAGCCGGGGGCAGTTGAGTCCATGGGGGGTCTGGATTTGGATTCGAGACGTCTGCGTGACTAAACATCGCCCTGTGGTCTTCGCCACCCGTGATTTCCCTCATTTGAGTGGTTGCCGACTGGCTGAAGGGACCTGTGATGAAAGACAACGCAATAGATGGAAACAGAGATATAGATAGCAAGAAGAGGGAGTAAAACAAAGAAAGGGAAAGATGTTACAGAACAGGAATAAGAGATGACAGGTAACAGAGAGACAGAGATGGAGACATTTATATTCTCTTGGGTGATATATCAAAAGTTGATAATGAAATTAGGAAGCATCATAGGAGAGAATGCCTAAATTTGAAAGTATTCAAGAAATCTGCTACACAATTTGTTGTAGCAACATGCGCTTCTCTGACAGACTTCCTCTGAGCAGTGCATTCTGAAGTGGTCTTAGTTGGGTCTTATGATATTTGACGGATGAGAAAAATGTCCAGCATGGCATAAATACATTCGGAGTCATGTCATGTTTATGCATTTGGCAGACACTTTTATCCAAAACGACAATTAAATACAATCTACTTGTGGTAAAGAAATTCCAGTTGTATAACTAAGATTTTAAATTCCTCATACTAGATTACACAAAGCAATCATAGATACAACATCTATGAAAAAGGAAATTATTAAAAAATACAGCCATTTTGACTTCAGTTTTTGTATTTAGTGAAAGCAAAAGACAATCTAATGACAACAACAAGAGATTCTACCAAGGGATTAGATCTGGCAGTTCATTTTACTACCTGTGTGCAAGCAGGGAATGCATTTGGATGTAAATTTGGTAGTCAGGTCAGACTGTTGTACTATCACCAAGCTTTTGAATTTAGTTTGTTTTGTTTAATTGGGCAAATGCTAAATGCGGATTACATTATTCTAAGACCAACGAGAGGGTTCCATCAGTAAAGAGATAAGATCGAAGGAACAGTATGCTGTATTGTTCTTCAGAAATGTTTTAGATATACTAGATATACTATACAGACCCCAAACTCAGTGAAAGTGTCCTCATTGTCAGCTTCACAGGAAATATACCTTGCAGTCTAATTGGAATAACTTTTCTGTATGCTCGGAATTGGTATTTTAAAGGCATATACAAAGATCTCAGCAACTACAAAGACAGTTAAATCTACATTGTAACTCTTTAAGGACTAGTCAAAAGATCTCCACAAAGCAAAATCAAATTAGTTTTATACAGATTGATGTTCTTCTTTTATAGAGTAAATGGTACACTAGAAAACCAAAAGACATACATAACCAGAAAAAGAAATATGTACACTATTTGCTAAATATATACACCGTTCACAGTTGATTTAGACCACAGTCTATTTTAATCACCTAACAACTAAACGATTAATGAAAGCCAGATACATTCCGTACACTGCTAACACATATTTAACTCGCCCAGCTGTGCTCATCCCGAACTCTTATCCTTGCCTAAGTTTAAACAAGAGTAACTCTGATCGGGCTTGAACTGGAAGCAAACTTTTTTAGCAAGCAAGTCCCCGTCAAACAAATCTCTGCTTCTGCTGAACTGGCAAAAGAGCAGTTAGGATTATGTGTAGCATTCTACATAAACGCCAGTAGGGAAAGCAGTCCTCAGGCATGGAAACAAACTAATGGCCTCAGTCTGTCAATACTAGTGCGTCATTCCTTACTATTGATTATCACTGTGGCCTTTCACACTTCTGTGTAACTCGCTGTGTGGCTGTATGCTACAGCAGATGGGATTGGGTTGTATAATTATTAATAGGATGCAGAATGTTATTTGACATAGTCCTTTTCAGTCTCTTATCAACAGAAAGTTTCCCAGGTGAAAGTGTAATCCTTAAATCAATGATGATATTCTGGCCCGCATCATTAACTCACTAACACTTGTGGTCAATATTCAAGGAAGCAGCAGGAGACTTTCAAGTGCTATAACATTTTGGGGGCCACATATTGTACATAAATTTAAAGAACTAAAGCAGAGGACAAGGGCAACTGATTTGTTATTTATCTTCATATGAATATCTAACACCATAAATAAAGTATATTATCTTACTTTGCTGATATAAGCACGGTTACAAACAATAATATAGATAGTAAAACACCTTCTATGTGACCAGATTGTATGCATGTGCATCATTTAAATGTTACTTGTTTTGGCAATAAAATATTCCTTTCATCGTAAAATTTTGAGAAATCACTACCGCTTCGAGGGTTTAATGTTTGCTGCTGAAACTTAAAACGCCTCAAATTGAAATGCAACGCGACTTCAGTCTAAAAGAAATTTCAATTTTTTGAACCAGCTGAAAGCTATGTATGGTATGAAGTTTATTCTGCCACGCAATGCTTTCTTTAAGGCAAATAATATCAGACAGCAAAACAACTAAATTTGCGGCACATAATACGTCTTTAATTGAACTGAGCTGTAATTCTAGTAGATTTTTTTTTTTTTTTTGCAATTTAACAATGCAAGTAAAATAGATAGGTTTAGAAATTTAGTTTTATGGTTAAAAAAATGTTTCCACATCTGCAAATTCAGTGTCTATTGGGGTCTTTTGAATTTGACATAAGTTGATTGTGAGTATCAGTAATGACATCAACCCACTAAACGTACAAATTTGAGAAAGAATACAAAGTGTGGGTTGAAGGTCTTTTCTATGACGAGAGAAAAATGAACACATGTAAAGTGTTAAAATGGTTAATTCACTGATTAATTAATTTGTAATTAGCAGGTTGTATCTGGCAGGTTTCCTCCATGGTAACTGTGTGTTTATGGGAATGGTATCTTTAGATTTTTCCAGGTACTTATATCTCATATTCTAAACATAGTTGAGCGTAGTTTAAACAATCAGAGCAGATTCTCTGCTGAGAATTTCTGATCACTAGGCAACTTGTGATGCAACTTCCGAGCATCTATACATTCTGAGCTCTATAAAGTCATGTGTAGTGAATGTGGGCTGGCCTAAACAACAGTTGCTACTTTTATGTTGCAGCACTTTTGTTTGCGCACTTAGCAACTCATTTGCCACAACTTTTGTTGTCAGCATGAGGCGGTGCTAATCCTCATTCTCATCGCAGGTGTAAAATAACTGCCATGAGTATATAACCCCCCCCCAGCCACCACCCTACCGCCCACAACCCCGGATTAATAGGCTGGAATGCCATCGATCCCATGCCAACACAAACAACTGTGACAGTGTTATTGGTGCGGTGGGTTCTCTGAGGGGAAGAGGATTGCGGGGCTTTTGGGATGGTTGGTTCTGAGAAATGACTGGTAGGCTGACTCAGACAAGGGTGACGTTAAAACAGCCAGAGGTGACGGGAAGGGGAGGGTGGCAAACAAAGACATGAAACAAAACAGAGAGTAAAGGGTTTTGTTATTCTCTTGACTTAAAGTGGAAAGGATTTCTGAAAGAATAAGACGGAGGTGTGAGAATACTCCAGTTCAGTTCCACGTAGACACGGACCCATAAACAACTTCCTTCTGTGTGGAGCGATTATCAAAAGACATCAATTCGCAGAATACTGGGTGAAATCTTTCACTATTCTTTGCGAATAGTGCGTCTGGGTTGTTGAGGTTCAATATGCAATGCTGTCCACAATACGTTCCTGACCAGATTTTTACCGCTCCTAATTTCCCTGAGCTCTTTTGAAAATATTTCCCATCTGTCCTGACAGTGAATATGTTTAAGTGCAACTTACAAACCTTTTCAAACCTGTAATATGTGTACTGTGTGTGAGCCATCAGTGATTGTATATATTTTAGTCACCCAAATCTCTGCGCTGTGTTGCTTCCTTGTATATTTGTTTGTTTTGGCTGTACTTTATGCACCTTTTCCTCCTTTTGAACTCTGACCGATGTGTGACCAGTGAATTTCTCCATCGTGAGATCAATAAAGCTCTTGTCTATCTATGATTATGAGTAAAACAGAATATCTATACAGACCTTTGAATACAGATCCACCCAGTGATGAGGAGGTCGAGGAAATCAAGGATTCTTGAGCAAGCACTGCCTCTACAGGGTCCAGTTGAGAGACTGGTGTGGCAGAAGAGAGACCGCAGACATTATCTTTCTCTCTTGTCCCTGGTATAAGCAACACCAGCCCCAGGTCCTGGCAGTTCGTGTGGTTTCGGCACCTCACGTTACTGGACGCCTTTTCTGAGAAAGTGCCTTTCGTGCATGGCTTACAGACCGCGTCCTCCGTTTGGCTGCCCCGCTTTTTCACCCTGGTGCCCGGCGGACACGGGGAGTGGGGCTTGCACTGCCCGCCTCCGGCCCCTGACCGGTAGGCGTCGGGCGGGCAGGCGCACAGGCGGTCCTGGGTGGCGGTGCAGGGCGCTTTCTCAACCAGGCCGGCGGCGCACGGGGGCCGACAGCGGTGGCACTGCTGGACGCCGTTCTCGCGGCGCGTGAAGGTCTCCGCCGGGCAGGGGCCGCACTCCCGCATGGCGGTCGGCGAGCAGTGGGCGTGGACGTAGGTGCCGGCGGGGCACTTGTCGCACAGCAGCTGGGCGCCGGAGTCCGGGTCGGTGTGCTGGTAGTGGCGCGGGGACAGGGCGGGCTGGTCATCCGTGCTGGCCGTGGTCAAAACCCGAGCCGAGATGTCAGCGAAGACTGTACAGAAGAACTGGGAGAAGAAAAAGGGATGATGACTATACATGTCATATAGGACAGTGTTTTTCAACCTTTTTTGAGCCAAGGTACATTTTTTTCATTGAAAAAATCTCGAGGCACACCACCAACCAAAAATGTCAAACAAATCTGTAGCCGCCTGTAGTAACACTATAGTTATTCTTATCTTATTCTTATCTTAAGTGTCTTGAATAGGAATCAAATAAACACAAAAATGTATTTTTATCATATTTTATATTTCTTCTTTCAAATTGCTCTAAACATGTCCACTTCAATATACAAAATTATATACAAAATCTAGTCATAAGGAATTATTACATGATTACGCCACCAGTCACTAGAACAGCACACACACTCAGAAATGGAATGTTATTTGCAGATAATTCATAATTTTTTAGACCAATTAGGTGAAATAGGATGATTTTCTACGGCACACTAGTGTACCGAGGCACAGTGGTTGAAAAACACTGATATAGGAATATGTTCTACTCTGAAATTAGTTTATAAAGATCAATGGCATTGCGAGGTTTTTTGGATCCTGTGTAGAGAGAATGTATTTGTTTTAGGAATGAATGCATATGGTTTAGGAAATTCTCGCAACTTTTGACATTCATGTGGCTCTGACTTGTCCGATATGACCTATGTTCCATGTTCTAAAAATGTTAGGATACATGCAACCTCAGTGTCAGCTAACAAAATTAACAAAAAAAAATTAAGTTGTTTCTTATATGAACATTATCATGAAAAACGAAAAGCAAAAAACTGACAGATTGGACGGCCTAATTAATAGATGAATACACAAATTCATGGACTGATGCACAGATTATTGCATATTGCAATAAACAAAACAAGACCTCATCAGACTAAACTGTATTTCTTTTCAAATTTGTCCTGTGAGTCCTTCTTTCCATTCATTATTGTGTTAAGATCCCAATCTATGAGCATGCTTCGATTTGACAGCGATGAGTCATATTAAAATACAGAGACGTGCCAAAATAATAGAGAATAGTGATTTCGTTAACTTCAATATGACTTTACTCGCTACCTCCTATGATTCATACAGAATCCTCACGGCTGTTCAACAGTTTTCAACGACGTGGACGTGGCTTTACAACCACAGCTGAGCATTTACGCAGGCTTTTATTATTGTTGGTGTTTTGCATTCTCAATGCTGCTGCTGGGAAATCCGACAACTTACTGGATTTAGGGGAATGACCTGTAGTTCACACCCGGACAAACAAACAAAGCACATGCACATAGGGTGAGTCATGTCAGTGCAAAAGTTAAAAAGGCTGACACACCAACTTCAGAACAAATTGCTGTAGTTTTGTATGCTAGATGTCAATGATAACTTTTTTTTTTAGCTTGTTTGAATATTTTAAAAAAATATTCTGTCTTTGATTTGTTGTCAAAAGAATGTCATTTTAGTGCAGGTTGCTCTAATTTCTCCAATTGTCGTGTGCTATTTAGTTATAAATTCATGCATTCAGCTAAATTACAAGAATACGAAAGAATAATATACGTTTTGGATAGCAAGTAAAAACAAAAAATAGAATATCCAGAGTCTACCAAGTGTAGAGAGCAGATCATCAGATCTTAAATATTGTTAAAGCAAGGACAAGAAACAATGAAATGAGGGGATGAGTTGATAGAAGAAAGTGAAAGATAAGTCTTGTTAGTGATTAGTTTGTTATGAGTGGACACACTCTTCATAGTTTTTAAGAGCTTCTTTAGGTAATGAGGGGGAATGATGCTCTGTTAACACTTAGTGGGTAATTCAACTAACAAAGGACCAGGGAAGAGAAAATAGGTGAAAATATCTCCTAGAGATGGTTGTCCCCATAATAATTTGAGCCATGTGAGTGAATGATTGATCCTGATGAAGATGTGCAAAAGGCAAACAAAAAAGATATGTAATGTGCACATTACTGTAGTCTATGGAATTCTACAAATGATTCACTGCCTAAGAAAAATAGAACTTCTAAATGTTTTGCTGTTATTATACATTAAGTAACAAGTCAGTGACTATGAATTTGATATTAATTGATAAGTTAATAACTGAATCTCTTAAGTTTTCTTATGCCAACAGAATAACTAAATACATATATATAGGCATCCATAACAATTATGTGATGTTTACCGCATGTGGCTTTCTGAATGAAAATAAATATCCATTTGCCTTTTCTCATGTAGGCTTATAACTTACCAATATGAGCTTCTTTCTGTATTCAGCTTGAAGCAGCAGCAGATAATCTTTTCCTCTCTTTGAACTTGTTACCAGTTGGCCACCACCATTTGTGCCACATTCTTTTCACACTGTGTGAAAACAGTGAACTTCTTGTCAAACAAAAAGAAAAACCTGAAGGAAAACTCATGAGGCGATGGTTTACGGTTAAGTATCTACATTTACGTTGCGTTTTCTGGGATTAGCTATGGTCTGCCATACCTAGCTTTCAGAAAAAGTGCTGTCACGCTCGACTAGAGGAGAATTTTTTGTTTTCTATTCTTCTAATTGAAGCGTCATAAGATCGCTTTGTGCAAGGCGTGCGATCATTACAACAGGGAGAGTGCCTGATATCTCTGAAAGATAACGGCCACATTCAGGAAGCCTGTCTCATGTAACACCAGTACAAAAAGCACTTTACAACGAGGAGTAATTAAAAGCTTCATAAAACCCACAACCCTTAAAACCCTAAAACCTTTGGGTCGCAATGATGGATATGTTTGTTTGAGTAGACAACTTTTCATGTCCATATGGGTCCAAAGCGTTAAATGTCTACAAAAAGTGTCATTAACTTATTCACTAATATACAAATGGCAAATGGTATCTGTTACTTAAAGAAGGATCAGAGACTATTGTGTCACAACAAAAATAATAAGGGACCATTGCAGGTTGGGATGTGAGGACAGTAAATAAGCAGGAAAGCAATAAAAGCTTAATGTGACAGTATGTGCATTATAACTGGTCATTCCTGCAAAAAGATGTTTAGGCAAACGAGGAAAAGATCACCTGCCCATGTATGCATAGCAAACAGGACCAGTGGGTTTGAAACGGTACACTGTGGGAAGAATTCAGCTGATGTTAATCAGTTTATGTGTTTGTTAACCATGAGCACAGATCATGATCTCTGCCTGAACAAAAAGGGCCTCATTTCAGAGTCAACAGAATGTTAAATCCATTCATTATGATTTACTCCAACAGCTAACAAAAATGTCTTAATATCAAAGAAGTCAAAATAAAAACAACTCATTGACTATTAGATCTGATAAGGATCAAGCTTTTCAGTCTCCCACCATCAGATTTCCCTTTCACCACACCACCCAATTCACTTCTTTGTGTCCATTGCCAGAACCTCATCCATAAACATAAGAGTATCCTCTCAACATGCAGCTTGTAACTCTGTTACCATCAGTAATATCAACGCATTCATTCACGTCAGCATTAAAAGTGAAGATGTGGGTAAGAGGCCCATGTGGAGAGAAATGAGAACATTCTGCTCGTTACGGGACACAATGGACGGTCCCCCCGTGGTTCTCGCTGCTCGTTTGGAGAATTTAACTATTGAAACAGCACGCTCTGAGCACAAGCCTAATTGAGGCGTACAAGTTGATGTCGGTATTAAAAGAACTTTCTAATGCGGGACAAGTTAACATTTTGCATGTTGGTACCCACAGTGCTGGGTTTGTTGGGCTCATTAGGAAATACCAGACGTCTTGTTTTGGGTTAACGCTGTGATGGAAAGTGATTCCCAACTATTATTTAAGCGACACCTGGACAAATGAAATGCACACCACATGAACTGAAATACGAGGAAATCTTGCTATGTTAAACAAAACAAACCCTTTTTTCTCCTATGGGGCATCAATGTCCACATATGATGCAATTATTCATTTTTTCAAGATAAAAGAAATGCCGAAAAGTGGGTTCTGCTGGCCCAAAAGAACATTTAAAGATTCTGTTAATTAGCTTCTGCTGCCCAAATATGACCCAAAATTAACAGTGTTGAATGGATCCCTCTAAATATTTTGGGTTTCACAGATGGACTGCAATGCCAGATCCAAAATGATGGATGTACAAATGGAAACCACTTTTCTTTTTGTGCTTTTTTAAATAATTTCAAAGATCCTAAAGCGACAGGAAGATATAACTGTAAGTTCTCCATCACATGCAGGCATGTTCAGGATGTTCATTCTGATCTTTTGATTTTATCAGAGTCTAATGAGTGTCACTTACTTAAATTGTACATTTTTTTTTAAATATGCCTGTAGATAAAAATGTAAAACAAATCAAGTTTAACTGAAATCCAAACACATTTAATTGAACTAAATAATTCCTGTTTGTTTATTTTTTTGTTTTGTTAAACCTTTTGTTTAACCTTATTCAATCTACCTTAACCAGTGTAAGAAATAAAGTGTAAGTAGATTCTAAGATAATTCATGCTACAACAGTTGCCAGGAGTGTGCCGATTGGTCCATCTAATGAAAACCATTATGTGCACGAGCATTGAGGTGCACACTCAAGTCAAAACGAAATAATAATAATAGCTATCAGTTTTTTACCTTTTCACTGTAATTGATATTGATCAAATTGGTCAGAAATTCCCAATTGTTGCAAGTTAGGTACAGTTACAGTTCTTTACATTCTTTTAAAACTGTGGTTAAAGACACCAATTCCTTATGACCAAACTCTGACTGAAGTTTGGGTTTAAGGATGGGTCCGAAGGACAAATACATTCACCTGACTGGCCTTATGGAAAATGAGGTGCTATGTTCAAATCACACTGGAACTTTTTGTAGCAAGAGCTGTCAATCCCTCTGTCACTGTCTCGCCTTATCATCCATGGGACTTTATCACGTCAATCGCCTACCACTTCCTGTTCGACCACAGGGCCTCTTTTATGGGCTGTTTTTTGTCAAATTTTCTTCCATGTGTGGAATCCATCCTGCCGATGGAACCACATTTCAATGCACACAAATCACAAGATTTGTATTCAATTTGTGTTGTGGGGCTCCATTAATGCAGAGTTG